TGACTCATCTGCGACATAAAATGTTATACGGCGTGTTCTAAAGAAGCTCGCTGGCAACGTATAGAAAGGCTCTTGCGGTCGAATCTGTTTTTTAGTGTAAAAATTAATTTTTAATGAGAAAAACTCGCACACATTTCAAGAAAACGGGTCAATCCTAGTGGGACGGACTGCAGCCACGCGATTCATTACGTATAGCACAATATAACGAGGGAGACTGTGTGTATACCAATATGACCGTGGCCACAAGCATTATTTTTAGACGTGTGTCATATTCTATAAGCGTATTAATATACACACAGTTTGGCGAGTATGGATCTATTTCCGAGTTAGATATTTCCAGTTGCCATCACGCCCGCGAGTGTATATAAGGCGACCACGGTGTCGAGCGGTTTTCAATTTTAGTCCGTCTGCCGAAGCTCGCGCAAACGAATACTGCCGTCCACTTGTTCCCACGCSATTACGCATATTTTCATTGTTTTCGTGTCTCTGTTACAACGTGTGTATCCTCGTAATACTCATGTCTTTGGAACGTGCAGTTCGCGCTAAAGTAAGTCGTCTGAGATGCCAGTTATATTTGCATAATAATATCGTCGTCAGCGTTATTATACACACAATATTATTACTATATCATACATGTAGTGAATATCGCCGGYGGTTTTCTTAAATTTTAAATAGGTACGCTATAATATTGTGTAAAATCATTTTTGTTTTTTGTTTTACCCGACATAGCTCGCTTCCAAGCGAGACCCACAACAAGAGAAGGAAGCCCAGGAATGGATGGAAGCAGTATTGGGATATAAATTCCCCAAGAACTTCCCATTGGAGGAATACATCAAGGACGGCCAAGTACTTTGCAAGCTCATCAATATCATCAGCCCAGGAAGTGTACCAAAATTCAACACCACCGGAGGACAGTTCAAAATGATGGAAAACATTAACCTGTAAGTCATGCATCTACAATTTTCAAACCTTTTATTTATCATTCAAACATTATTTTATCGTCACTAGACTGTTGGTTGATAAAAGTTAGAAACAGATTATATATATAATGTRCCTATATATCCGATATAAGAGCATCGCGACGTGTTACAGCTTACCTTGCWTACGCCGAGAAAAATATTTTATTTTAACTTTTCAATTTTATTCCTACAATTGAATATCATCATAATATGATACACTTGGATCAATAATAAAGCTCATTGAATGATTCGTCGCTACAGCACACGATTTTTTTCCGTTGTGTATATAATATAAAATATTGTATATAAAGACATAATATTCGAATTAGAACAGTGTCCCACGGGTCTCGGCTTATTTTTCCTCATAAAGCTAACACGACAGAAAAGCCCCATCCAAGCCTGTATATTATACATTATATGTATACACCATAAATACGCCAATTAATCGAAAATCGTGTACTGTGRAAAAGAYAGGGAACGCAATACATTAAGAACAAACTTTTTCAGCGCATTCTTGCTGTATATATCATGARTATTATTGTGTATTATATTTGAAAACAACCATGTACACATGTTCCTGGGACGACGATGGCGACCATCAATAACTATTAAACGGTATAGACTATTCGCTTAACTTTTGGCGTCTTGTCGTGTGTGCCTGCTCTGAATGAGGGGTAATCATAACGTTGATGGGGGGGGGGGGTTAGGGTGATGTATAATCCTTTGAACCACCCCCACTATGACCTTTTTTACTGCAGAAAATTTAATATACCATTGTTATAATATACACAGTACACACATATGTAGGTGTTACCTATATATTATAATATATTATACGGCAATGAGACCGGTATAGACATACGATAATATTGTTTAAAATTGTATGTTATTTAGATATTGAGTATTGAAAGATTTGCAAAGGCAATAAAAAAAATCTTAATCAACCCTACACTGCTGCTTTTTATATAGCACATACTATTATACCCATATTTGTCATTTTTTTACTGAGAGTCTTGCAAGTCTTCGATTTCTTTGTTGGAATTCCGTTTTTATATTTTTAAATGATTCTTTAATAGGTACAAAAATAACGATTTATTTTCGAAGACTGTTTGGTAAGAGAACTCGTGATCCTAATAACTATACCCACACTTCAAACACATTTTGGACGGATAGAAAGCATTGTCCAACATTATATTTGTATTTGTTTTCATTATGTACAGATAAGTGTTATAAAATATTTTAACATACATCCATATGATATTATTTTATACCTACACTGAATACCTACGAACCAAACATAACCAGGATGGTTTAAACAATAATCTTATGAGTCGTTATTTATCTTGAAACCACGTGTGCATATATAATTTCAGGGGCGTCGTGTCACGCTAAGTAAATTTTAACATTTAGAGTTCTCGCGGAGGCACAAACTTTTATACATGTATATTGTATACACGCGGTGAAATAAACTTTAAAGCGCGTCGTTGCAAAACGGAGTTCCGCATGAAAGTTTTTTGACTCATAAATCATAAAATGCAGCGCGTATAATAATAATATATAACATTATAATATGAAAATTTCGCGCAGGGGTGGCGGATTAGGAAAGTTCCTACTTCAAGTTTGGCAAGATATAGGTGCGAAATCTGTCATATAAATATATATATATACACATCAAAAACTAACGAGTATTGTGTGCATATTTATATGGCTATATATTGTAGCAAAGTCTATATATATATATATATATTATATTATATGTATCGATTTTATCTATTTCAGCATTGTTATAACTCGTATTATAATCATTTATCGATGATAATATAAAGCCATAGAGGTAGTGTATGAACTTACGCGATCTTTACACATATCTCAACATCCGTATAATATATATAATATATCATATTCATATGTGTGTTTATAAAGAGTTATTACTTACGWTACCCGTGACAACGGTGCACAATGGTTATGACGCGCGTAAAGGCGTAAACGATTTGCTTATGGGTGGGTATATATATACACTGCACAATCGTCCACAGGAGTGACACAGATATTGTATCAAAATACAATAATATTTAGTATTTTATTTTTTGCCTGCGTGTATAATATATATAATATCATTAATATCATAATAATTTATAATATACGTTATTGCACTTACAGTTTCCAAAAAGCCATCAAAGCGTACGGAGTCGCCGACATTGACGTTTTTCAGACCGTCGACCTGTGGGAATGCAAAGACTTCTCTCAAGTGGTGATGACACTGTTCKCTCTTGGCCGCGAGGTGAGAAACTTTATAATTATTATGTCATGTAAAAAATTGTCACCTTAATAATATTCAAAACCCGTCTTTACTCGCAGATTAGATTAAAAAAATATTACATTATATAATGCACGTTTGATGACCACAGTACTTATAACACTGTTGATTGTAAAATTATGTAGACATACAGACACCCAGAATGGAAGGGACCTTACTTGGGACCCAAACCYTCCGACGAGGCTAAACGAGAGTTCTCTGAGGAAACATTGAAGGCTGGTCAAACCATCATCGGGCTGCAAGCTGGGCAAAACAAGGGCGCCACGCAAGCGGG